GGCGTCTTCTCCGCGAAGCGCCGCCCGTGCTCGGGGTGGGTTGGTCAGCCAAGCCGTGTTTTCAGCGTAACCTGGAAGTGCGCCGCTTCCATTTTCTGTCTCCCCACGCAGCGCTTGACGCGCAGATCTTTCCCCAAGCAGCGCGTAAGCTGTATGAAAAAAGAGGGGCGCCTCAGCTGACAGGGAAATCAACCGTACGGCTCCTAAGTGTACTTTTAGCTAAGCTTCAGGAGACTTCAGTGAGTGCTGTAACACTTCAGTATGCTGTGGATACCTATTAATACACTCTTCTCTTTGTGGTTTTTTTCCCCCTAGTTCTCTTTCAATATGTTTGATCACCCCATCCCTCGGGTTTTCCAGAACCGCTTCTCAACCCAATACCGCTGTTTCTCGGTATCCATGCTTGCCGGACCTAATGACAGGTCAGATGTGGAGAAAGGCGGGAAGAGTATGTGCATGTTTTATTTTGACTAATAACCTGTTGGAAGAGTGTTTGTGAATAATATCAAGTAATACAGCTTTTGGCCAAGGCTGCAGAAACATTGTTGAACGGCATGGAGACATACTGTTGGCTTTGTGGCTGGAGCTGGGAGAGCACCCTGGGTGGGGCTTTAAGAAGGAAGGAGGAGGGTTTCATTGCATTAGTGTGTAATTAAAAAACTTACCGACTGAGTCCTGGTTTACGAGCATTATGAGAAGACATTCTTCTTTTCTAAAGTCTCTTGTTAAAATCTTAGGCTCATTATGAACCTTGGAAATTTATGATTAAGGACTCTTTTTCCCTCCTTGTTGTATCTCGCTTAGCTTGAACAAAGAGAATAGACGGGCCAACTTAATTTGCAGGCTGTCAGGCTAATGCTATATTGTTTTGAGTTGGCATCGATTTAAGAGCACCTATAAGCCCAAACAAAATTACCTTTAGGAAACATTTTCTTTCGTACTAGGTATTGTAAAACCTTGTCTGCTCTTTTTTTCTGATTAAATTCTGAAATCTCCATGCTAGCAGGTATATTTGTCATGACTGATTCTACTGAAATCTCGGGCTCAAAAGTGAATTTGCAGGAGATTTTAGAATCTCCTTTTTTTTAGAGGAGATTTTAGAGAAAGGAATGATAAAATTGTATGTTATGTACTCTTTGTACAGTCATACTTTTCCTAATCTTACATTCTTATTCATTTCTGCAGTAATTATGCCACCATCGGCTTTGGATCAACTCAGTAAGTGAATATTTTATTCTGGAATAACAACATTAGAAATATGAGCAAATGCATAAGCAAATACCACAGGATTTTAGTTATCTATTAAAATCTGACTTAAATAGAGAATATGAGACTAATTAGTTCCAAAAATGTGTTTTGTAAGTATTTTGTCTGTCAGAATTAATGAGGCTTGTCTGTCTTCAAGTACAGACATGTGAAGTGTTAGGCTACCTGAGGCATGAATCAATATTTATTAACTATTAATAGCGTACTCAGTATAATGGTTACAGTTAATCTAGTAAATTCTTGATCTCAACCTGCTTGTTCTGGATGCTGTTGTCTGGAGCAAAATTTATTTTAAAGACAAAGTAAGTGATAATTAACTTTGAAATGGGGAAGAAGATAACTGAATCAATAGTATAAATGGTCTTTATTTGCCTTTTTAACTATAGGGGTGTGTGTCGTCGTCGTCCGTCAGTGTGTCGTCCCCCCCCGCCGAGCTTTAGCTTTAATAGAATTTCTTTGAGAAATTAGTTTAGTCAGGATTTAGTTTTAAAATAGGCAGGGCCTGTTAAAATTCATTAGGTAGGAGCTAACTGATAATAGCACAAGGACATAACAGTAATAGATTCCTCTGCTAATACCCGCTGCCTGCTCATCTCTGAGCTTGGGGAAATGTTGGAGAGGCATTTAAAGTTCTAAGTGCGATGGCAATACAGTATTTGTGTATCTGCATTCCCTCCTGGATTTGTAGTTCTGAGCAATTGGAATAATGGTGTGAGGGGAATCCCTCCTATAGTCTGGCCCATTTTCTTGCTAATGTTCAATCTCTGAAAGCTTCAGAAATGTGTTAGTGGCTTTTAACAAATAAAATTTATTTTCTCCTTTCTCACCAGGCCGACTTAATATTACTTACCCGATGCTGTTTAAGCTGACAAATAAAAATTCAGACCGAATGACACACTGTGGAGTGCTTGAATTTGTGGCTGATGAGGGCATATGTTACCTTCCACACTGGGTGAGTTGTCTCATGCTGAACTGTCAAAACCTGAAGAGTAGGATTAGTGAGTTGCCAGTTTAATATTAAAGAGGTGGAATGTTTTCTGAAAGCACGTGTCTTTGCTAGTCATGTTCCTACAACAGCTTTCAGTCACAGCTCAGGTTTCCCTCCATGAGAGTTTAACTAAGTAAGCAAAGCAGACTACTTTTTAAGATGCACCTGATGTTCTGCCTGAAATTAAACCATGGTAAACTGGTGCATCTCAAGGAAGGTGGTGGCCCCAGCGAAAATAGGTATATGCAAGGAAAGAGAATTAAAAACATCAGTCATGTTGATAGTGGTTTGTATCTTTGTTTTCATTCTTACAGATGATGCAGAACTTGCTGCTGGAAGAGGGAGGCCTGGTGCAAGTGGAGAGTGTTAATCTTCAAGTTGCTACTTACTCAAAATTTCAGCCACAGAGTCCAGATTTTCTTGACATCACCAATCCCAAAGCTGTGTATCCTTCCTATTCAATTATAGAGCAGGGGACAAAAGTTTTTTCCCAAATTGGAATGATGAAGCAGGGCTAGCTTTTCAGGTGTGGCTCATACTCTTCCAGTAGTAGGTAACTACTACTGCTCCTTCTGAAAACAAAAAGGATGGAGAGCTTATGTACAGAGACATGGCCAGCTGCTTGCACAAAGTGTAGTCTGGAGTGAAGCAGCATGAATCTTGGCTTAAAGTCCAATGAGTTTGAGCGTCCCTTAGCCTTTTAGTAAACATTAGCGTGTACAAGTTCTTCTATCTACAGTACTGATGACTTTGAAACCACGTTTGAGAGACCAAGGATCAGAGTTTTATAACATAGTAACTTTAAAGCTTTGATGTTGCATTGAAAACAAATGTTTCATCTTAACATACTCCAAAGATTAGAAAATGCATTGAGAAACTTTGCTTGTCTAACTACCGGGGATGTTATTGCCATCAACTACAATGAAAAGGTACAGTATACAACACCAGTCCACACAGGTTTTGTTTGGTTACCATCAATTTGAGGAAATAAATTCTGTCCCATGTAAAAAAAAGTACGCTGTGTTTCAGGAGCTTATGACCACATGAGTATTTTGACTACATCTTGTGAGTAGATTTTACAGATGAGTATTTTTGGCAGCACGTGTGCACATTTGATCACTTGGGGTTACAGACTAAGCTCAGTTGTTGGATGTTGGTGCTGAAACAATCAATACAGAGCTGTGCAGTATTGTTGACAAGTAATGCGAGATGGTAGATCTGAGAATTGGTTTTCTATTGGAGGAGAAAAGGGCTCAGTTAAGTCTTCTCCTGAGCTGCTTAGAGTGTTTCTTGACTCACAAGAAAATAAATTTTTGTGCTGTTTTTACAAGTCAAGGGACAGAATTTATCCTAAACTCAATTTGTTTTCAAAAATGCAGATAAGGTACAGTAAGAGTGCAGCAAGGCATGGTAAAAGGTAGGTTTCTCTAGCTCCAGTATATAGCAATCTTCTAAGTTAAAAATCTTTGCTCTCCAGTTCTTTAGAGACCCTGCAGTACCCAGTCCTCAACCTAAAGAACACTTATTTCAATTCTCTTGAAGCTATCTGAAGGGAGAGGTTTTGATATGCTTTTCTTATGTGTAAGCTGAGCTCTTTCATGTGCAATCTTAAAATATTCATTCTTGTTTTAGATCTATGAGCTTCGGGTAATGGAGACCAAACCAGATAAGGCTGTGTCCATCATAGAATGCGATATGAACGTAAGTTAAAGGTGATGTGGAAAGTCTGCTTTTACTGTGTCCTCCCAAAAGGAGAGGGCATCTTGTTCAGTGATAGCACTGTGCACCAAGCACCTCTGATGCTGCAGGAAAGATAAAATTGGATGGGGTAGGGAAGATGACTCATTTGAGACTACCCCAAGTACCTTTGTAACCACATCTGTGGTCTGCACTTCATGTACCATCAGGTGACTGTAGTGCCTAGATTATTTAACAGCCCTGCCTTGATTCAAACTCCAGTGATACTGTGGGGTGCTGTCTTACTGCTCTGTTTCAGTTACGTGCTAAGAGTCATTCCTGGGAGGCTTAGTCTTTTTAGTTCTGAGTTAAAATGTTTAACAAGCAAACTTCAGTTCTTTCTAGATCAAAATGGAGTGATAGTTTGTGGAGTTTGGAGGAATAGCAGTATAAAGCTTATATGAGTAAAAGAAAAATATCAATCATGCTTATTTTCATGCTGCTTGTGTAAATAGGTGGATTTTGATGCTCCTTTGGGGTACAAGGAACCAGAAAGAAGTGCACAGCATGAAGAGACCACAGTAGGTTAAGCTTCTGTTCTTCAAAAATGTATTCCCTAGAAGTCAGGCTTGCTTGTGATGGAACAGTGAGCGCCAACATAAATTTTTTTCCTGAAGCAATTTCTTAAGACTAAACTTCACTTAACAGATGCTTTTGCTTGTGTTACTTAGGAGATGGTTGTCTGCTAACTGTTGATTTTGGAAGATTTTGGAAAGGGATTGTTTTGAAGTTTTGTTTGGTCAGAAATATGTGGAACTGTTTTCATGTGTTCTGCATATGACAACATGAACGCAATGAACTAACTTTTTTTTTTCCCCTCAAAGGATGTTGAAGCAGACCATAGTGGATATGTGAGTGACATAGGATTTCGTGTAAGTCCCATGTTTCTGCTGGTTTCTGAATGTTGTAAAATGGTGAGGGAGAGTTGTTCCAAAAAACTGCAAAATGCTAGCACCTGTTCTTAGAGGTGCTCATCATTTAACTGGCAAGTATCTGTGAATGTTTTGTGGTGCTTACAGCCAATAACAGGTGTGACTTGCTGTCCTTAAAAGGGCAGTCTATAAATGGGAGACAGAAACATACTCCTACACCCAGGGTTCATCAGCTTATATGTACCAGAAAGAAACATGCTGAATCAAATAATTAAATAAAAATGATAGTAAGATTTTACAGAATCTAGTATCCCTGTGCAGTGTGCTTTCAAATACAAGGTAAGGTTCAATTAAAACTCGTTATGTATACATAGGCATTCTCTGGCTCTGGGAACAGATTGGATGGCAAGAAGAAAGGTGTTGAGCCTAGTCCATCGCCAATTAAACCAGGAGACATTCGAAGGTATGTCTGTTTCATTTGGTTGTCAGCAAGTGAAGGATCAGTGTTTGAGCGGAGTTGTTTGTTTTTCTGCTCCTGCAATATAAACAAGCTAATTTTGTCATAAGTTTGCATTTAGAAAATAAATAGCCTAATCTTCTAGACTGACTGTGAGGTCCCTTACTACTTAAGATGCAGATCCTAAGCTAATGTTGCCAAAAGTCAATCAACTCTGGTTCTATAGAAGACAAGTAGGGAGAGGCAGCAGGTCTAGACTGGGCTGGTGGGCTGGATTGAGTGATGCACAGAACCCTGCCAATTTTCTAAAGTTAAACTTGGTGTAGAGTGAAATCTTATTTTGAGTTCGGTGGATAACTAAAGCCAAGCCATGTGTGGGTTTGTTGGTGTTGTCATTTACGCGTGTCACAATAAAAATTGAACCCTTGTGGAAAAATGTTTCCATGGCCCTGTGGAAACCACAGGCTATGTGGAAACGTGCCCACAGCCAAGCTTCTACAGCAGCTCCAGTATCTGATTATTTCATGCAATGCATGCCTACCCTCAGAAAATAATTCAGTGGTTTAACTCTAGAATTATTTGGTAATGAAAATTCGCAGCCAGTGTTGGTACAACACTGACAGACATAGAATAGGTCTCACTGTGTTCAATTGGATGGTAGGTATAAAACTTCTTTCATAATATTTTTATGCTTCTTTTCCAGAGGAATACCCAACTATGACTTCAAGATTGGTAGAATCACATTCATTAGAAACTCACGTCCACTAGTTAAGAAAGTTGAAGAGGTAAATAAAGTTGGATCCTTCCCAATTTTGCACAGAATTAGAACTACTGTCCGAGTCTGTGGTTCCTCTCTCCATACTTGATTTTTCACAGTGCACTTCTGTTACAAAGTGGTAGTAGTTAAAAAGTGGATTGAGTTAGGTGAAAGCAATCTCTGATGTCCTTGCTTACTGATGTAAAAAGATTGGCCTGACATAAGTTTCATAAGCCAGTGCATACTTGTTTCAGTTGGCTGAAAGGTCACTGAAATGCTCGTATTTTGTTTTCAGAAAGAAAGTAGTTATCATGTAGATTAAGGCTGTGAAATGTCTACAGTCAGTTGCTGCTCCGGTGGAATGTTCTTTCTAACGATTGTTCAGCTTTCGTCACACGCAAGCAGTGAGCAAAGAAGTAACAATCTTTTTTCCCTCTTTCCTTTCTCCAGGATGAATCTGGAAGCCGGTTTATTGCCTTTTCAGGAGAAGGCCAGTCCCTGCGCAAAAAGGGAAGAAAACCCTAAGTTGTGGTACCTTTAGTCAGTTAGGAGGAAAATAAAACAATTGCAGCATATTGGATCTTCGTTACTGCAGTTGAGAGGAGAGATTGTTTTGCAATGCAGGAACACTTTTACTGGTTTTGGTTTCACGTTTAAAACCGGAGCTGTCAGACTGTCTTAATTTCCAGTTGAAAATTAAGTTTTAGGAATTCTGAAGGAGGTTTTTTGTATTTGTTGTAAAGAGGGAAAGTCTGTCTTGGGTAAACCTGAGAAGTAAAACCAACGAGGTCTACCTTAGTAAAAGGTCAGGTTCTTAGACTACATGCTCTCCTCAAATCCTGAGTGATGATGGTCTCACGTTGCTCTGTGCTTGATATTTTCCTCCCTCTGTATATCTTTTCCCACAGTTCCAGGTAAGCTTTTTGGTGTGGTGCAAATGAAGGCTAACACTTGGGTGTTTAAGACTTTTGTGCAGGGTGTTTCTTTGATCTTAGCTTCAGGTGTTGGGTTATAAATCATCCTAAGCAATCCCCCTGTAATTGCTTTTTATATTTATAATTAATCACATGCCTTTTAATAGTTCAGATACAACAACGTGCTGTAGCAATCTAAGGGCACGCGTGGGGAGAGGCGAGACCCAGCCTCTCTGCCTGGTGCCAGTGAAGGAAGGGAGTGCAAAGCTCTGGCGCCCTGCGCTTCGGAATAGCGGTGTCGGTGTTCGCTTGTGCATCCCTCCCAGGGCCGGCGTGTCCCTGTTGAGCCTTTAGATGGGTAACCGGGTGAAACCCCTGTGCTCCCTCCTGACGGGCCGAGTAAAGGATCCGTGCTGACCAGCGCGCGTCCCTGGTGTGGTGATTTCACAGAGAAACCGAAGCGGGGGGGGGGGGGGGGGGGGGGGGGGGGGGGGGGGGGGGAAGGCAGATAGTCTGGTTCTGGTTTCAGGAAATGAAAAAAGACTGGGGAGGTTTGAGTTCAGTTCCTGCTTCTTCCAGAAGCTGGACTAATTCATTGACCATGATTAATGAGCAACTCAGATGTCTCATCACCCCTAAAGCAATTGTGACTTAGATGCTTAAGCATCTGTAAGGATCTGTTCCCTCGTTTCCCCCCCTGTAAGGAATGGGTACAGAGGGAATTTTTTTTTTCACCCCAGAGGGATTTCAGGAAGATAAATGCCTACCTGCCTAATGCACAGGCAGCTTGTACGGGTACTGAGTGATGGAAGGGCAGGTGGCAGGGACATATTACAAGGGGAAATCTGGTCACAAGCAAACATGACCTGGCATCTGTGATACTGACATAAGCATCACCACCTGCACTACCATCAACAGCTAGCTGTGCAAATGCAGGCACAGAACAGGGCACAGTAGCAGGGCATCTCAGCACCCCCAGATGCAAACTGCTTAAATTTATATCAGCAAATTGAAGCACATTTGTAACCATTGAAATATGCAAGGGTATCTTATGTTTGCTAAAGGACTCCTGTTCTCTTGGAGACTATCGGTCGCTGTCCCGCCCGGGCCCCTGCGGGCAGCGCGCCCGGAGCTCCGTAGGCCGCTGCTTGTGGGAGAGAGACCCCCGCAGCCGCCTGCGGGCGAGCTGTCTCGGCGGTCACACAACGGGGAGGGGTTGGGAAATCAGGCGTCTACTTGGGGTGGCCTTAACAGCTAGCGGGGGTATTTTGACAGTGTTTTGCTGTAAAAGCTCTTGATTTCAGTTACTCTAATATGCCCTTCCTAATACGAAAAGCTGCCATGTTGCAAGCAAAAAGTACTCCTGGGGCGTCCAGAAACGCTCCTGGCAACAGCCCCACGAATGCCGAAAGATGGGAGCCCTTCAGCACAGGCTGCAGCATAACTCATCCTTTCAGCCAACTAGGACAACTTCTGGCAGGGAGAGTAGCACAAAAGTGGTAGTTTTCTTCATAAAGGAGGTGTCCGAGGCAAAATATAAATGTGACTTACTTTGTTAAAAGCTTCCTTATGTACATGATAAATTTCTGTTCCTCATTTTATCTCAAATAGTCATAGCAGGAAATAAGCTCTGTAAGACTGGAACATCCAATACCATAATGGTAATATTTTTTTTCCTGTATTTCAGGAAGCTTTGTGCAAGAGTGAAAGAGCTCGAGTTCTGGAAAAACAGAAATATGCTCCAGTGTGGATGCTCAGGAAGAGCCCACCACCTGACTGGTATCTTCCACTTGACCAAGATAAACCAAATTAGCAAGACTGTTTTGCTGTGTTTGGTCAGTGATGTAATACACAATGCAGAACTATGCTGGGTTTTTTTTTCTTCCATATCATCTTGAAACTCTACAACTGTAGCTCTGCTCTGCAATGCTTTAGTACTCATTCAAAAATTCTGAGAGTTTATTTAAACACCTAGTATTTCTTAAAGGGAGAATTGAGGTGCTTAATTTGATTCTGGTCTCTTACTACTGTCTTACGCTTTAGGATTTCATCTCAGCAGGCAAATCCCAAATCGGTGCATACATGATCTAGCTCCTCTTGCTAGATGAGGACCTCTTCCCCTAACGGATGGTGTTTTGCACTTTTGGAACAAGGTGCCCACCCCAGGCCTGCCAGATGGGAGAACAAAAGCAAGCTGGGACTTCTCCCTGCCAGTTCAGGACAATCGCAAGCACTGGCATTTAAGAGGTATTTTCCAGATTCACTGTTGTCGTGGATTAAGAGCTTTTCACCTGGTGGGATGATAGTGCAGACCCTGGAACTGCAACCCTGCCCCTTTGTGGAACTGCTCTTGAATGGTGGTGTGTGTCCATGGCAGTATTCAAAATTACTACAAAAATAAAGGTTTAAATAACTGAAGAGAGACCCGTTTTGTTTTAGGGCAAACCCTTAAACTTAGTTATGATATTTACATGGCAATGCAAAAAAAACCAAAACTTAATTTTGGCTTTGTCACGGTATGTTTTCCATCTGTTTTCCCTCTTACATGCAGAAGTACCTCACTGAAGTCTGAAAAGAAAGGCAGTAAACAGTCAGCTGCTACCTCCCTTATAGTACAGACTCTGATGTGATGACTGTGACATTCTTTCCTCATAGCATAGGAATCTTCCAAGTTGTGGTTTATGCAGAACAAAAAAAAAAATGCTGCTCCGGAGTGTATGGAGGGATGAGAGGTAGAGGGCCCCGAAAGATAAAATACTCTGTAAAACACTACTTCTTTGTCCTGTTCTAGCACGGCACAAGTGTAAGGTAGCGTAGTTTTGTTGGGTGTCTTACTACCTAGATAGCCGCTTAAAAAACCCAAACAGATACTTCATTAATACTTTTTTTTTTACAGTCACACACCTACAGTATTTTAACCTGCAGAAGAAATTGTTTATTCTTATTCCATTCTTTCCTTCTTCAGTCGGCTGAGTAGCTCATGCCAGATGAACAACAAACTCCTCCATCACTGTGTATACACTTTGGTGATATCAACACATTTTCCTTCAGGAGGATCATAACCAGGAAGTGGCGGGGTATAATTAGGTCCATCTCTCTCAAAAGGGAAGAGTCCCTCATCTCGTCTGATTGCTGCCTGATACAGCTCTTCAGATTCAAGGCGCAGTTCCTTTAGTGCCTCTTGCTGAGCTTCTACAAGGGTCTGAATTGCTTTCTTCTCTGCCTTATCTTGCTTCTGCTTAAACAAACACCACTTTTTCATAAGTAAAACTCTTCTTTCGGTCTCCTCAAATGACAGAGGGGTAAGACTTCGCACCCTGATAAAGAGTAAGATAACACTGTAATAGAGAAATAGCCTGCACTCCAAAGAGCAAATTAAAAAAAAAACCAAAAAACACACACAACAAGAAAAACAAAAAACCCATCGCAACAAATAAAACCCCCACCAAACCCAAAGAATACATTTCATTCACACAATGTCTGTGAGGTTTTCCACAGTCATTTTAACAGGAAATTCATGTTACTATTTTTTCACTGCTTTTAGCAGGAACAAATAAAATTTGCTTTCCACATTTTTGTCCCAGTAGAAGTAGGTAAGGTTTTGTACGCAGGCTAGCACTACATTGCAATTTTGCAGAGAAAGAAATTACAAGTGTTTCTACCATGAATGCATGGTGAAAAGACAGTCTTTCTTACCTGTTGCTATCCGAGTACTTAAGTGGTGTTATAAAATCCTCAATTGGAATCATTTCAGGGGCAGCTTTTTCCAACTTTTTAATCTTCTTTTTCATACGATCCTTCTGTGCTTGCTCTCTCTTTACATCCACTTTCTTCTTCTTCTTTGGTTGTGCTCTACAAGGGAAATAATTACGTGAATGAAAGAAGATCTTTTGTCATTTAATTCAACACCAGCAACTTTCACTTCCACTTTACTTTTCTAAGGACCGTTCCTTCCCATTGCTTAATTTGGTCCCATTGGGGACCAAAGAAGTTCCTGCCATTAGCTTTATTCAAGTAAAGTAGTTTCCAGGAGACAGTAATACGTCTTGTGAGATTTTCTGCAGAGAGAACTACCTGCCTGAGAAAGGCAATCTCCAATTTTGTGCTGAACATCAGAATGACCTGAGGAGATTCCACAAAAATTGAATTGAAATTGTTGCGCACTAGCTCAGAGTGTAGCAGAGCAGGTCACAGGTTTATCTGCAAATACTCCTGTCACCTCACATTAAAGAAGAGAGTGAGTGGTTTTACACATGCTTTTAAAATTTCCACATGTGGAACCAAATCCACAGTGCAGATGTTACTCTCCTGTTGTACTCCTCCACGCAGATCCAGTATACCCAAGATAACATGCCACGCTCCACAAACACAAAACTAATCCTCACAGTGGATGTGTGGGATATCATTCCTGCCTTGCAGATCGAACAACCAACCTTTAATAGTGTGAAACAGTCTCTCTGATGGTACCTAATAGCGACCAGGATATTTTAAATCTAGTTGCATCAAAACAAAACATGGATACCAAAATGTAACATATATGTAAATGCAGGCTGTCCGGTATACCGCTTTGTAGTAAAGTGTTTTCGGTTCAGCTAGGCTTTCCTTTCCATTGTTGCTCAAAAGAGGATTCTGGAGCACAGCTTAGATCTGAACATCTCCAAACACATTCTGTGGTTGAGGAAGCAAATACGACTACGCACAAGCATAAAGCGGTAATTGTATAGGTTACTGTTAAACTCTCCTCAAGAGGCCAATGGTTCTTAAGTACTTTTACATACAGTGATTTAAAAGAAAAAATCTATAGTTAAAAGTTAATTTGGACTCGGGACAATGTGTTCCCCAAGGATGAAAACACTTCCATGTAACTCCATGGTAGTTGCACTCACCTCACGGGGAGAGATGCCCTGAACGCCAGCAGTGAAGTCTCCCAGTGACTTCCTTGGAATGGAACCATCTGGGGCAGCCAAGAACTTAAGAAAAAGGAACATAAAGCATGAGAAGAAACTGACTTTGATGGCATTGATTCTGCAAAATACAAGAGGTATTTATCAGTCATAAATTACAATGACGAGTTTTGAATCATCTTTGGCTACTTAATTCATGACAGTGTTTGCCTGGAGATGATAACCTCAAACTCTTCAGCAAGGTAACTAAACCCAAAATTTGGGCTGTTCAGTGTTGCGAAGCCACAGGGTACCGAGGGGCGGAGCAGATACATTTTTAAAGTCTACGAATAGGTTAGAGTAATTTTATTCTTAAGCTCCGATGATGGCCTCTTTGAAGTGCCGATTTTGGAAAAGTAAAACCACCTCCGTTCAAATCGGGAGGAGAGAGACGCCGTTTCTCAAATCTCGGCGGACGTCACGAGAGAGAACCGGCCCGGGTGCCCGCGCACCGCCTGCTCAAGGTGCGGAACCAG